TTATTAAATATTTTATTAATTTTTAATTAAATTTCTACATAAGATTTATGTTAAATAATATAATATTAATACATTATCATTTCTTATAATATTGTAAGGGGAAGTTTTTGCAAAGAGATAGAATTATCTAAATTTAAACAGATCTTAAATTATTTCTTTCTTCAAGTCAATTTATAATAACGTAATAACGGGATAAAATTATCCTTTAGCACAAGAAATATCCTGTTTGGGCTCAATTCGGGACCAAAAGAGACGTGTAGATTATGAAAAGTGCGGGAGACAAATGAGCGACGGAAGCGAAACGTGAAATTAACGAGCAAAAATAAACGTTTCCTCGATAATCTCAGTCGCTCGCAGAATTCTCGACCAGTACGCGCTTCTCCGTTCTTCGCTCTATTTACTTTTTCTCAGAGCCGAATGAGTTATCGCGTCGGAACCCCCTCGGGTTATCCTAATGAGCAGAAACGCCAATAAGCCAGTACGTCTCGACGGGGATGGTGTGTTTCTTATGTCTTATTTTTAAACGGGGTGCCTGTTGACGAATTTGCGGACGCGCCGTCCGTCTGTGCCGTAAATGAAACATCGGAAGTATCTTCATCAGCCTTTCTAGAAATGTTTAAATATAATAAATTGTTGACATTCTTACTCGCCCGATGTCAATAATGATTAGATGCTTTCTTTAAACATGACAATATAGTACAGAAATGTTTAATGTTATAATATAAAAACAAATAAGAAAGATATGTAAAAGATATATAAAACAATCGGCATAATTTCGTAAAAGATAACGGGGTTACATTACATTAATCTTTACAAAAAAAATTATATGAAAAGATATGTAGAAATTTTTAAAGTATACTCTAATTTTGCAATAAGTATTTTATTTAAAAATAAGGAATAAAAATGTAAATCATGATTTAACAAATATGAGGTAAATATATCTTAAGATATTCTATACTTTTCATATTTACGGATTTCTTTATTTCAATCTTTGAATATTTAAGAATGTTATCGCGATATATATCGCGAGTAATCGCGTCAAGGCGAGCATTAATCTCTCGCTAGCGCGGGGTCGGCAGGTCGCGAGCCCTCTTCGGAATAAAAGAGCTCGGGCGAGGCACTAGAAAGGGGAGAGGACAAGGATGAAGGAGAGGAGGCAGCAAGAAAAATTGCGCTCGATGTCGTGGAAACGGGCGAAGCCGTAAAACAAACGGTCGGACGTCGCGCCTCTTTCTCCGCGTCTAATTCTGTCTTGTCGTCTCTTCGCCGTGTATTTTCGTAGCGCGTGTCACCTAAGTGCCTTATCTGCGCGTTTTTCGAATCTCGCTAGATCTTGAGATCTATCCTCGAGTCACGTGCCACACACCTGAACTTGTACATTTATTCATTTTATTCCTAACGAGATACATGTTGTGCAATAATAATGAAGCTATATTGAATATAAAGATAATTTTCAGACTAATCGAATCAAAATTTTTTAAATATAAGAAAATTGATGAATTAAAAGATTGATAAAATATAAGTAAATTGAATAAAAATTCTTAAAGTATAAGATAAAATTGCATAAAAATAATAATATGTCAACGTTTTTCTCAGCTATTGATATACATATATCTTGAAATTTATTTAGGCTCGATTGCATCAAAGTTACGGTGACTTTAAGCGAGGCTTAAAATTCTCTCTCTTTCTCTCT